GTCCATTTGAAACTTAGATTCATTATGAATACTCTGCCTAAACAACCTGTCAAAGATTACACAGTCCTAGATGAAATATTGTGAACTTTAACAAACGACCTTACCAGAGGGGGAAGGAGGTCATTACTGCACCTGATATCAGTTTATCCACGTAACAGACTAAACAGCTAAGTAAATGAGACTGGAGTGGATCAATTCAAATAGACTTATTTTATTATGAGAATTTCCACTGTCAGTGAATCAATTGCCCCCCTTGCACCCAAAAAAACGTTAGCAGTGTGATACATCATACATGTACTATTTTAGGGCCACAGTTTACAGCAAACATATTTGATTTATTTGCCTTTTTCTTTGATAAAATATTTATTAATAAATATGGTAAATAACCACTCTCTTCCCCCCACCCTTTTTTTTTTTTTAAGTGATGATGGGTGCTGAGTATGTGAACAGCATTCCTGTGATTGCTTCAAACCCAAAGGTCACGGCAATCAACTCCTGCATTGAAATTGACCTTACAGGTCAGGTTGTATCCGACTCCATTGGTACACGAATATTCTCAGGTTAGTAATTTCACCTTCCAGTGTTGTGATCGTGGGTTTTGTAATGTTTTATGCTAATAAATATGATGAAGTTTTGATTATTTAGAAAATTTTTACTGATAAGGAAGACTGTAATAATATATTTGCTTTATTAATTCAGTGAACAATGTTTTTAGGTTTATTTTGCTTGTTTGTAATATAACTTTATTTCGGGGATTTACAGGCTTTATGTTGGAAAAATATCTAAGTTCTGATTCAACATATATTTATCTAGACACAAATTAAGTTGTGTGTGATCTACTTTTGATGCTTGTATTACTTAAACAATATTGGATGAAATTGTAGGACTGAATTTATTTTATGTTCAGTTACTGATCTCACTCTGCAAATTAAAAAGATCACAAAAACAAAATAAAAATGTTGACCTAAAATCATTTTGTCTAATTCAGAAAAGCAGGTACTTTTTACTGTGTTAACTGTACAAAACTAGGAAACCTGGATGTCACCATTTGATTTAAAAAGATGTACATGTAAGGAGATCCAGAATTAAAAAATTGTATTTTTATAATTTTCTGTTATTAATTTCTTAATGTCTGTTTAGGCTTTGGTGGTCAAGTGGACTTTTTGCGGGGTGCTGCTACCTGCCATGATGGGCTTGGCAAACCTATTCTAGCTATGCCATCCTTATCAAATAAAGGGGATTCCAAGATTACAGCGTTCATCAAGCAAGGTGCGTACATCCAGGAAAGATTAGTAAATCCAGAACAGTTGATAATTATGGAGACTTCTGTAAAATAAATATAACAACAACATAGTAGTACAGTAATGGTAAAGTAACAGTAGTAAATCAAGATTCATATATCTTAAGATTTTATTGGTAAAATAATATACCAGAGATTTCTTCTGGTAATACTGTAACAAAAATTGTATAAAAACGTGTTTCAAGACCAGATGTAAGAGTTTAATTTGCATAGATTTTGGGTCTTTCCATCAACATGTAAAAAAGTATGAGAAATAAGTTTTACTGCTGTCTTTTGCAGTATAAAAATTACATTTTCCATGTTGTTTGTTAAGACGACTTGCCGTGGAACATTTGATGATTGAAATGTGAAGTTTCAGCTACACCATGATAAAAATTTGGCTTCAATGACTGTTTATTTCTTGTAGATATCTATTTTGGTAGTTAGTAGCCATTGTTTTATAGGTATCCAATATTTTGTAGTTTGTATGTTACTTTCATTAAAACTATGTAGGCTAGTACATTTTTGTCTTCTTGTTATGAGTAATACATAAGTTAGACAAGCTTCATTCTTTAACATATATTCATTACTTTTTTAGAAATATTGTACATCTGTCCTGCTTTTCTGAGTTTGTTTATCTAGACATCTGAAGTCTGTTTCCATGTGTGATGAACTCCAGAATTCATTGATCTGTTTATTTACTCTGGATTTAGGATTAAAAGATATTTTGATGTATTTAGCTGTGGACTAATATGGACTAAATTATTGTATTTTAGTTATTGAGTACTTAGTAAAACCTGTTTAGAATTTCATTATACTTTCTGTTGTCTGGGAAACTATTATTGTGTTATATTGCAATCAGTATTGTAAACCATAATTCAGCATTGTATTTAGAAACTATGCAAATGAGAAACTATCTTATGACCTCATCAGTAGCAGCTTTTTAATCTACGAACCTGAACAAGTCATAACAACGTGAAGGAATAACAATAACTTTTTTAATCATTGTATTTATTCTTTTGGTTCCATATTGTAATGTGTGTATAGAATGCATTGTTATCTATTTAAGGTTTTAGGTTTCTGTAGTGTATTATATAATCTGACTTCTACACCTTAACTCTCAGTTTTAATTTTTCACTCCTTTGTACACTTTGAATATACTATATTGAAGTGCTTCTAAAGTGAAGCATCATGAATGTTAAAATGTGATTTTTAACAATCATAGTGGGACGTGTAGGATTCATTGTTGTATTTCATCCAAACTTCTTAAACTCTGGATTAGCTAAAAATAAAAATCATTATTTACTATTTAATGAGTGTTGTGGATGTGTCATATGTACTATTAGCCGAGACAAAATCAAAATATTGTTATAATATTCCCAACACCAAAGTTTACTAAACTTTTCATACTTCTAAAGGTTGTCTGAGTTTGTCTTTTAAGGACTAGGCATGCACTTCAGACGTTCAAATGCCGCCTTTTCCAGAGACTCTCTGTGGGTCGGGTGAGCAATCTGGATCAGAGCATGAGCACGCTGACGAATATTCTTTCCAAACAAGAATGCAATTCCATATTCTGTCACTACATAATGGACATGTGCTCTTGTAGTGACAACACCGGCACCTGAAAAAAACAAACATTAGACCTGGATTTCATTCCTGGACAATTTTGACATAAACATTAACTTACAAATGACACATTCACTGCTAGTGTAGCACATTCTAATAAACTTTCATGTTTGGTAAGTAAAGTTCTCAGTTGTAGCTTTTTTTTATATGTGACAATTACATTACAATATGGGTGCTTGTTTATTAGGAGAACATACTTTAGAAAAGTGTAACATATTTTGAATGTGCTCTTAGTGATATATGCACTCTGAAGTTTTGTTTGTATTCTAATGTTTGTTAGAGTAATTGAATGTTTTAGAATTGCTAGAAGTGCAGTGTTGTTTTAATCATTTCAAAAATGAATGTAATTGATGTTAAAACATTTACATGATTAATATAACCTTGTTTCAAGTTAGAATGGAACAAATAAAACATAGAAAAGTGTATTAACCATCCCTGAAATTAGGTTATCTTATATTTTAACCCTTTTTGTGGAGGGGGGGTGGGGTGCAGAATAGAATCAAACCTAGGATTCAGCAAAGGTACTTACGTATAAGATATATATAAACATAATATTTCAGAATGTTAAATTTTCTTAAATGTGTGACTTAATATTTAAAACTTGTTTTACCGAGTGTTGTCTATAAGCCATAAATTCACAGACAAAAAAAGGAATTATCAGTGACAAGTATGTTGGTCTTTTGGGAGGATGGTTAATCCACAAAAGTTTTTTTTGTGTCCATTAAAAAGACTCAGTTATTGTTATCTTAAATTTAAAAGCTAGTTTTTGTTAATTAGTATGAAGAGTGTTTTTTAAAAATTAGACAAGATAGTTGTATTATGAAAATGGAATTTGACAATTAGTTTGTTTTTTTTATTATTATGTAAAACTATTTCAACTCTTCTGCACCTATGATAATCCATCTGGAATTCCTCATGTTGAACAATATTGCCGTTTAGATATTTATCTATTTCTTTCTTTAAGTCAAGGGTGGATCCAAAAAGAAGGTTACAACCCTCTTTGCAATGAACAACCAAACAAAGGGACCCATAATTCTACTAAATTTAGAAGTTTTTTCTTCAAAATATTAATATACAATAATGACGTGCTGGAATTCCAAACTTTGTTTAACTAAAGCCAGAACCACTTTATAAACCAATGAGTTACAAGTATCACCACCTACATTAAACATCCCCACAGATGTATATACACGTACGACTACTACAAGTTCTTACCTGAAATACAACCCAGCCAAAGTTCTGGATTCATCTCTGTCATCACATCTTTTCTCTTCTAGATTAGAAAATTGTAGAATACATATTGTGGATGTGCTTACTGCTTTAATCTTCCTATTTAGATACAAAATGTTTGTTTAACAAAATACTATATAGCTGATATACACAAGTTATACCAAACTCATATTTGTTGTACTATCATCCCTTCAGACAGCTTATTATTTTGGTCACTTTTCTCTCTCTCTGAAAGTGATTTAAGATTTTTTTTTGTCTTGGTGATTTACTGGAGTTAAATATTTAGTGAATAAGGTTGGGATGTTGTAAATAGCCGATTGTTTTTGGGTTTTTTAATATTTTATTTAGCTGCGTTTTTCTCTCTTTTTTTTTTGGGAGGGGGTTATTTTCATATTTTCTTTCATTATATACAACAGAGCACAAGTTTGTTTAAATATTCTTGAAGAAAGTGATAATATTTGCTTATATGATGTGTAATAATATGAAAACCATGATGATTTGTATACCAAATGATAAGTATGTTAGATTTCACAATAATTGGCTTTTTTTTCTCTCTCTCTCTCTCTCTCTCACATAAAAGCCAGAACTTGAAGATACTGGGTAATTTATATTTAAATGTTGAAGACTATATCTTATTCAAGTTGCTATATATAAGCCTTTCCTTTCTCTCTCTCTCTCTGATGGCTAGAAGATGCTAATAAAAATTGGAAGGTGCTATACATATACAGTATCTTATACATCATGAAAGATCTAGAACACACTAATTTGTTATTAAAACTTTAAAGGTTGATATATACAAGCCTTTTTCTCTCTCTCTAATGAAAGACAAATATCTGGAAGACTGCTGCCCTGTTTTCTTTGATGACAGCCACAGCTGAAAGAAACTATTTTCTCATTAAAACTGCTACATAAAAGTTAGTAATTTGAGGAGGTAATACAGCCAGTTTTTATCCTTTTTAATTTTTAATCTTTCCATGAATATTTACAGCTACAAAAGAAATGTGATCATTTCAGCGTCTGTCCGATTGTCACGGTTAATGTGATCATTCTATCTTTTGGCTTTCGCTAAATCCATTTGTTATTAAAATGAGGCCTAAGAATTTTTTCTGTACTTGTGAGAAATTGGTTTTGAACAAAAAAAAAACATTTTTTTATTTCTTTGAACGGTTTTATTGTGTAACTTTTGACTTTGAATATGTTATTAATACGGTATGAAAATAAATTTAGATACAATCTTTGTGTAAGTACTGCACTGAATTTTGTTTCTCAATAAAAGTAAAAGACATAGATGAGACAAATGGGAAACAGCAAGATGTTTATAACAATATTGAAAAACGACTGATATAATAATTTTTATACATATATGTACAGTTTTGAAAATTGAAGTATACTTTGAAGGTATTACTGTTTCATAGTATAAGTATGATTACTCTGTGTGGTATGATATTTTCAACCAAGAGTACAATATCATTTTTTTATTCATTCCTCTGTCCCCTATATGAAATTTAGGCAATAAAAATTTATTCAGAAAGCTAAAATCAAAATCTTGTGTGGATTGTGTATGGGGGATCGTGCCCCCTAGTAAAGTTTTCCCAAAATACCTTACCAAACGTATGTAACAATGTTCTTAATCATTGAATATATGATTGATAAGTAATGATTAGGAATAGTGTCAGAGCACTAACTAGAAGGAAACAAAAAAAAAAGTGTTTCTGTTAACTTTAATTATTCATCATATTGACTCATTTTGTTAGTTTTTAAAGATGCAATGACTTTGTTTGTGGCAAAATACAAAAAATGTACTTGCATGTATATATGGTAATTGCTAACGTCTGTATAATGGAAATTTTCCAAGACAGTATAACATTATTTTGTACATATCAAATTTAAATATGCTTAGGACATAATGATTGGTTATCCATACAAGGTTAAGTTAATACTAAAAAAAAATTGTTAACAACACGGAATATTGTTATAAAAATGGGTTTGCAAAATATATATATTAAGTAATTATATGTTGGAATTCCAGAATTGATTAACAAAAGCTAGAACCGTGTTATCAATCACTGAGGTTCTAGTACACCAACTGTCCAGAACCGACATTAAACAGCCTCCCCGAACGTCTCTCATACAAGTTCAAGCAGTTTTTATTCTCACCTGTTGGCGGCCATTTTCACCTTTGTTTAATCATAAATACCTAGCCTAATTCAATGATTAAAGAAAATAAGTACTGAATCAATGTGTTTCTGTTTATTATTGTGGTGGATATTTTTACCAGCTGAAATTTCACAGGAAGAATAACATGTCTTCCATACTATTCAGGATTTGTAAGTAATCATTGTGAATGTACTTAACATTCTAAGTAAATTAAACTTTTATTGGTTATATGATCAGGTCGTTTCTCAAATATAATTGAAAATATTGTGTTATTCATAAACACGTACGTCCCCTTGAATTGGCCGGCATGGCCAGGTGATTAGGGCGCTCGACTCGCAATCTGCGGGTTCGAATCCTCGTCACACCAAACTTGTTCGCCCTTTCAGCCGTGGGGGCGTTATAATGTGACGCCCAATCCCACTATTCGTTAGTAAAAGAGTTGGCGTTGGATGGTGATGACTAGCTGCCTTCCCTCTAGTCTTACACTGCTAAATTAGGGACGACTAGCGCAGATTGCCCTCGTGTAGCTTTGCGTGAAATTCAAAACAAACCCCTTGAATCAGAGGTAATGTTGGTTACTTATAACTCTGCATTTTATTTGTAATTAAGCACAAAGCTGCACAATGGGCTCTCTGTGCTCTGCCCACCACGGGTATCGAAACCCGGATTCTAGCATTGTAAGTCCTCAGGCATACCGCTGTGCCACTGGGGGGCGACTCTGCATTTTGGGGTTCGGTGCCCGCTGGATGTAGTGCAGATGGCCCATTGTGTAGTTCTAGCATTTAAACCAAATGTGTAGTTTGTACAAATTAGAGTTCAACTTTGCCCCTCCCACAATAGTTTTCCGAGATTGCGTGACCGCATAAGGAATGTGGCCAATCAGCAGAAAGCACTGCTATAATAGCTTTAAACCTAATAACGGAATTGACTGTACTCTTATAACACATTCTCAAACGGAAAGTGAGAAGCGTGTGTTTAATGGCATCGATGCGCGAACTTTGTATATTTTGATCCGCAGGTCGGCACATGTACATACTAGGATGGAGTAGTATAATACATTTCTTTAATAATGTCTGTCGTTAAAATTCCTAAACACATGCATATAAGTAGATAGGCTGGAGCGAAATGACGAAATAGTATCACTCAAGCTGAGTTTTACGTGACCAGCTGTGAAGCAAAATAAAATTACCTCTATGGCATCATAAATGCAACGTTGTTTTTTTTTTTTTTTCGGAAAGAAATATTGCCTTGTCATTATCAAACGTGCACAAGAATTCCTCCATTTAAACTCACTTTTGTTCATCAGTAATTTGTAAAAGTCAATAAATTCACTATATTAATAAATTCACTTAATTCACTATGATCAAAAATTGAATAACGTATTTAGACCATATTATCAAATTTATAAAAACATCCACTAGAGTACGCTTTTAAGCTGGTATTCTCGGTATTTAAATAAATATCATTATTGCGAATAATAACGTTTTTAGACGATGAGACTTGTTTGAGAAAATGATCAAACGAAGTGATCTTAACTAGTGGGGATTTGATCGACCCCAATATTTCCTTATAGCGGGCTACTATGAACTGAAATTTACAGGTGTGTTCAATGTAGAAGTATATAATAAAATCTAAACATACAGAAGATTCAGTCACTAAGTTGTCCTTAACAATAGAATAATAATCTGTTTTTAACTTAAGCACAAAGCTACACAATAGGCTATCTGTGCTTCGTCCACCACATAACACTGGGGCCGGTGAATCTGAATAAAGTAATAGATAAACCATTAATATCCCATTTACATGAAAGTTTTTATTTTTTACTATTCCCTCCTCCGCAAATAAAATGTCCTAGAAACGCTAGTGTTGGAGACACAGAAAGAACTTTTTGAGGCATAAAGGTCAAAATTTAAACATCAACTTTTATTTCCAGGAAAGATCTATTTGAACAAAGTAATCGTGATACATATTACCTATGTAAGAGGCGGAAATGAATATCTATACAGAAATTATATCATGTTTTCTTAACAAGATTATATATAACATTTATTTTTTGTCCAAGAATCCCAAATGAATTAATCCAGCTTTGCAGTCAAAGAAATCTATGAGAGATTGATAACTTACACGCACAATATATATGTATATACAGAGCCATCAACTCTATCATAATAATATGAACACTCCTTAAAAAACGAAGTCGGTTCGGGTATTGCCATACCCTATGTGAATAACTGGGGAAAAGGGCTACAATAGTTAATTTAGTAATCAGAGTGATGTTGGTGAAAAATGGAGATTGAAATATTTCTATATTTTCCCGTGTTAGAGTAATAGGTTAATCAGAAACTGTTCAGTCTATACACTGTGTTGCTGCTGTCTTGAGATTTTAGCGGGAGTTGTACATTGCATGAGACAACAGTTTAGTGAAGAACACGATCGGAAGACATACTGTTACCTTGCGCACAGAGCGAGCTGTTGCTCGTCAGCTTCAAAGTAGACTGCAACAAGTTTTGTCAACAGTTGAGAAGTGATATCTTTAATCTGGAATAATGGACGGTTGCATGAAGGAATCCACTATTGACATGGCTTAAAAATGGGCCATAATTTTTATTGACGCGACATGCTGACTGACAAATCTCTTGCATATCAGTGGTCCATAGTCTTCTCATATGAGGAGCAATTACATCAATTCACATTTTCTGGATGCATGTAGGTTTGGAGAATCCTTAGGCGGGGGCCTTTCGACCCATTGTGTTTACAGCAAATTTAAGCATAAAAGTTTTGGAGGAATGGTCTGAGTAGTCATTAGGTTTAGTGGTAAAACCATTCTTACATCCATTTCAGGCTCCTCAATTCTCCAGGATAACCGTTTGCTTTTGTGATCAAGAAACTTTGGACTATAGTTGCAATATTCTAGTCTAGAAGATGATGGAGCAACAATCCCAGAACCATCAATATTTGGAATACAAAGTAGACTGCAACTGCTTTTCTGGCCATAAAAAGACCTGACTTGGACCTTATTGAATAGATGGGAATACCGTCATAGGCAAGTAGAGCCAAACGACCATTACCAGCATTCCAACAGTCCGTACAGCATTATCTACTTAATTTTGGAGAAAATCCGGAATAGGGTACAATTGGAAATCTGATTAATTCAAATTAATTCCGTGCCCAGAAAATTGCAAGCCTTATTAGATACTAAACAACAGATTATGCACCTTTAAGTTATATGCGCGTATAATGAACCATCAAATGTTAAAAAACTTACAGGGCTTAGAAAGGAGACGATCGGCTGCTACAGAAGTTGAACTACATTTTATATAAGTCGTGTATATGGCATAAAGAACTGGGATACAATCATTTCTGTCGTAATAGGTGATAATAAATATTTCAATAGAATATAAATTATTTTAGTTGTCTCATTTTCAACAAGAGTGACGGGTAATTTAAGTACTTTTATATATATGTAGCCTTCAAGCCGCCTTTCCCGAACTCCAACAATACACAAACAAGGCGTTTCTATTGCAATCTGTTGAGAAGAATACAAAAGTAAGAATATAATATGCACAATAAACATCAACGATTAAATATATTGTAAAATTACTCACCTGGGAGTAACCGTGTTAAACTCCGAAGTTTAAAAATATTTTTTTTCTCTAAATTTTGTTAATGATTACTTGGTATATTTTCAAATCTTGTCATATCTCTTTCCTCAAGAGTTGTTTGCACAACACACACCCGTACAAGCAGTTTTTTTTTTTTTGTGTGTGAACAAATACAGAAATTATAACTCAGTTATGAACACACTATTAAAGAAAATAAATTTCAGAACTATCGTAATTTGTTGTCATAGTGATTAATTTTTATCACAATTTCCAATAATAAATATTTGAATATCAAGCCATGTTAAAAGAACGAAGTAGAGGGCGGTATTTATGTTTAGTTAATAGTTTAGATGCACGTGGATCTTATAATACTGGTGTTGGTACTATAAATTAGAATTGTATTGTTTAAAGTATCTGACATTAGTTATTATAAATTTAAATAAAAATGAGACCACTAACAGAAGAGGAGACCCGCATCTTTTTTGAGAAGCTTTCCAAATAGTATGTGTAATTTCAAAACTAGTTTAATGCTACTGTGTGTTGTTGGTATTATTGTTGCATCTTACGCAAGTTATAGTATTACTATTAATATTACACTTTACAAATTACAGTACTAATGAAGTGAAAGTAAAAAAGTGATGACTCAGATTAAAGGCAAAAGTCTCACCCATTGTTTCGTATATTTACAAATGTTATATATTGAGCACAGCGTCTGTGGTACTTGATCGGAAGATGCTATATGTAAATGAATTGTGTAAGCCTAACCCATAATTCGAAATATTTTCCACTGTTAAGCCTACAGCACAACTAACATAAGATTATACCTTAACTTGTAAATTACAAACTTTATTCTTCATTATCAGAAATTAGATTAGCAGACCGTAAATTAACCATAGTTCTTAGCCCTGTGTTAACTGAAAATTTAAATACAGCTCACTTTCTACTATTGTATAATTTATACAAAGTTAAAGTTTCAATCCAATATCTAAATAAGACCATATCTTCTCTCCTTCATCATTTGAGTGCATTACTATCTCATGGTCTGATAAAACCTTTAGAACTAACTGGATTTTGCCTACACTCAAGTTTCAGAGTATTTGTGTCTAGAATTGATTTCTCTATACATTGGTTATGACTCCAAGTTTGGTTCATTGAAGCATTAGACTAATAGGCTTACTGTAATTTAAACAGCATTTAATGTAAAAACTTGGGCTTGATTAAACCAGAAAACCACGTGTTATATTTGTCTGTACACATACTAAAGACCAGTAAGTTATTAGTTTAATTATCATAATGAAATATGGAAGGCACAGTCATATAAAAAAAACTGTTAGCGGAGCTTACAATATTACAAGGAGGTTATTGCAAAGATTGAAACAATCCAAAGATTTAGGCATTTAAGTTATCAATAGAGTCCAGTAAATTTAAGTAAGTTTAATAGAAAGCTTGATAAGTATATGAATAATAAGGGCTGGCTAAGATTTTTTTAATATAATACTTTTAGTTAGTTAAAGGATGGAACAGCCGAGATGAACCAATAGGTTCCACGTTGTTCCTAAACATTATGTTATGTTATTCAGTTTCAAAGAATTTAGTTTTCAACTCTCTTCAGGATTCATCTGGCAGCTTAATCAGGATGACTCTTCAAGATTATGGATTTTGTATTTAACACACTTGGGAATAATTTACAACACTACATAAAATGAAAAAGGTTTAAGTGATCACGATAAAATGTTTAAAATAAAAAACACAAATATCCTTGAAAAGAAATCTCAATTATGATGAAAAATTCATGATCTATAACCTCCACAACATCTGATCAGTGTCTCCAAATAACTCAGCTGCCCAATTCACAACAGGTAATTCTTATCACATCCCTTCAAAATTTGGTTTTTTCAAATTTGTAACCAAAATATCATTATTCCTTATCTCCATATGCAGTAATACATCGAACCTAATAGAGCAATGATCACTTGCACCCAGATGTTCCCCAATTTCCACCCTCTCTATCATTTCTATGTTTGAAGTTAACAATTAACTTAAAACCTTTCTCCCTCATGGTTTGACTCTTAATATTTCCTAATCTATGTGCCTGAAATTAAAATCACCCAGAATTATGACTTTATTAACAGCTGAAATCTTAATCTCATTGTAAAGTTTCTCTCTAATTTCACAGGCCCAGCATGGCCAGGTGGTTAGGGTGCTCGATTCGTAATCTGTGGGTCGTGGGTTTGAATCCCCATCGCACCAAACATGCTCGTCCTTTTTCAGCCATGGGGGCATTATAATGTGACGGTCAATCCCACTATTTGTTGGTAAAAAGTATCCCAAGAGTTGTTGGTGGGTGGTGATGACTAGCTTCCTTCTAGTTTTACACTGCTAAATTAGGGGTGGCTAGCACAGATAGCCCTCGTGTAGTTTTGCGTCAAATTTAAAACAAACAAACAAAAACTCTAATTTCATCAGTCTGGCCATCTGTAACAAATTTCCATTAAAACCTTTTTCCCTTTATATCCACTAATAAAAACACAAATGGGTTCAATTTCCTTGCTATTATCTTTGATATCTTCAACTTCAACAGGATGTAACTCACATTTTACATATAAAGCCACTCCTCCCCCCTCTCCTTAGTACTCTATCCCTATTAAATATCCTGTATTTTAAAGAATTTTCTGTCAACAAAATCATCTTTGTTTAACCATGTTTTAGTTATTCCCATTATATCAAAATCCACCATTGCTACCAGTGCTCTAAAGTCATCTGTTCTATTTTTTATACTTCTAGCATTACAATAGTAAATAGTCTGAAGATTGATTAGATAATTCCAATAATCACCTGGGTCTAATTGTGAGAAGTAAATACAAATAGTGGAACTTCTTAACAAATTTTGTTATTGTCTTATAGGTTTTTACTGTCACCTAAAATTGTAGTGTCTTAATTGGTGCATTGAATTTATGGAAACAAAATATGACTTATGTGTCCAGAAAAAAAAAAAATTTTTACATCCTTAATATTTCATTTGTTTTTTAAGAGCAGCATAAGCATCCATCAATACATATGTAAGGTTTAACACCACCAGGTGATTTGATGAAACTGAATGTAAAGTTTATTGTTCATCATTGTTCTATAGCAAACTATGCAGATTTGTAAGAACTATGAACATAAAGACAAGAAAAGTTACAGAAGGCCAGTCAATATATCAGTGGTACAAATGCAGGCTCTTATACAGCCAATTCCAAGATAAGCCTTTTGTTTATGTATTATGTTGTAAAAGAAAGATAAAGTGTGTACAACACTAGTAGAGGAAAAAAAAACAACTTATGAATTTCATAAACTAACATACTTTAAGTACTTGACTTTTCCTGTTGTTTGTTTTAGTGATTGTTTACATTTGTGACATGCTAGTAATGTCTTATTACATACTTATTTACAGTATTGGTGAAAATATAAAGCTCTTGATTGACAGGCCTGATGGAGCGTATTGTTTCCGACTTCACAGAGACAGAATATATTACGTTAGGTAAGATTATTCTATTTGAACATGGGTATTAAAAATTAAATGAAGTAACTACTTGCAAACTTTTTTGTAACATTATTATGGTAGGTTATCAAACAAAATTTAAAATATGACCAAATCATTTTGATAAGTGGATTGAGCATCTTGGGTTAAAATATAGTGAACTATGAGCGTTTGTTAAACAACAACAGAAATTAGAGAAGAACATAGGCAGAGAAGAGAGGAAGAAAGACTAAAAGAGAGAATTTCTTAATAATAATTACATTTGTACAGTCAAGACTAGTCTTAGTTGAAGGACGAGCATCACATTTTTGATGCTATGAAACTTGTTAATTTTTTGAACATTTTAAGGTGATTGTTGTAACAAGGGTAAGAACATTTGGGTTTTTAAATGAAATTAATACTAAAGTTATTTTATACTTTTCTGTTTCAACCAGAGTTTTAATATTTAGAAAAAAAAGTACAAATTACTATAACTGCAACTGAAAGTTTATTTATTTATTTTTATTATTATTGATAGCGAGACAATCATGAAACTGGCGTGTAATGTTGCAAGAGAAAATATTGTAAGCTTTGGAACCTGTTTTGGTAAATTTACTAAAACGAAAAAATTTAGACTTCACATTACAGCTCTTGATTACCTGGCTCCATATGCGAAGGTAAGTTGAAACATCTTTTAATTAGTAATAACCTAGTACTAATTTAAAAATTTTTAATTATTATTTGTTTGTGAAAACTGTTTATTTTGTAACATTGTAAAATCAATGTCTAGATACAGATATTAATGTACTATAAAGTATACCAAAGTTATGTATCAAACTGATACTTCAGATAAAAACAAAGGTGTGGGTCTGAGATCCTGCAAATATATCAGACTGTAGAGTTCCAGGATTAAAAGTGTGTCTCCTAGAAAGTTCTACTTGCTTCATTAAAACACGTTCTCCACTAATTATGTAAAAAAAAAAAAGAGAACTTTTGACTCGATATATCCAAATTACATCCCATGAAGTTGTAAACTGTAAGCTTTTGCTAGATTACTCCTTGAAGTTGAACTTAATTTTATATTTTCTGATCTTCTTGTAAAGATCTTTGTTTAGAGAAAATCAGCCATTCTCATTGAACATGTATGAATAGCTTTTAAATAAACGAAATTGAAAAACTGAATTTTGTATCATTTAATTGTTCGGAATTTCAAGATTTATGAAATTGTAAGGTGCTGATGTCAAAGGTTAATGTAAAGACTGGAATAACTGATGTGACAAGCTTAAAGTTTGTGTTGATATATATGTATCTTGGATTCATTCAAGATCTTTCTGTACAGGTCTACTTTTGCCAGAGACTGCTTTGAAATTTTGTTGGAATTGGTTGCTATTATGTTTCTTTCTTTATTGACAAGAATGCACTCTTACTTACATATAAAGAATGTTGTTTTTGTCAAGAAAAACAAATTCAACCATTTTTTTAATACAATATGAATAAAACATGTTTTCCAGAATTGAAGATCTGTAGTTGGAAGTGAACTATTAATTAAACAAGTGATTTACATCAATATGTTGAAACTAAAGCTATATATATATATTTAAGCTTTAATATGTACAGAGGGTTGGGAATGCTATATTAAAAAAATTTAAATATGCAATGGAACAGCATGTATGAGAACTACATTTTGACATTGTTTGGTATTTCTTAGATAGTGTGGTGCCACAGATAATTTACCTTTTTTTTTTAAAGGATATGTAGCAACCTTTTCTAATGCAAAAAAGTCGTATACTCAGATCAGGAGTTTAGTTTTTAAAAGACACAAGTATTCCCTGTACTTAATAGTATTGGAAAACAAAGGAATATGGATCAACTTGAGCAATCAGGACCATCCAGAAAGAAACCTGCAACAAGTCGCACCCCAGCCTTAGAAAGCAAAGTGAAGTCTCTTGTAACAGTTGAAAATTCACAAATTTGCATCAGTACCAAAAGCCATCCACTTGTCTTAGGTAATGGTACACAACATAACAGTGAAGCATCTCCCTCTGGAAAAGTGACAAAGGTTGTTTTTGTGACATGTTCAGGAAGGAATGGCCAACTACAGAAAACTGTATGAATGGAACCTAGCTGAGGATAAACTGGCAGCACATAGTGACAGTTGACAAAATGTATGTGTATCTTGATAACTAATGGGTCTTACCATTTTGAATTGTCAATGAGTGAAAAATATTCCAAACATTTTCTGAGTTACCCACAATAATTTCTAAATACTTTGAATAGTAAGGTCAAGGTGAACTCTGTTCACTATGAGATCAATGTTTTGGACCCTTTGCACCACACAGAAATACTGGCTTTGTATGGAAATGAGGCCAACATAGTATGGATTCACTAAGATAGGACTTCCAGTCATCCTTCTCATTCAACTATCCATATCTGATGCAACCGCCCCCAGTGGCACAGCGGTATGTCTGTGGACTTACAGGGCTAGAATCCAGGTTTCGATACCCGTGGTGGGCAGAGTACAGATACCCATTGTGTAGCTTTGTGCTTAATTACAAAGAAACAAACTGATGCAACTGGCAAGTAAAACAGGTATTTGTGCTATTCCCTACAAAGACAAAACAATCAAGTCATCTATGGATTTCTGTGCAATCAGACTGTTGAAACGGGCACTGCAAAACTGTCATTCTAATACACTAGATGGATTATGGAATCCTTCATGGAAAGTGTTATGTGCTTTGGAAGTGACAGCTCTATGATGGAGCTTTTCATAATGGAAGCTACACTGTAGAGCTATTATCAAAATGTACAATCAAGATAAAGCATGACTGAAAGAGAAACATGGAAGGTAATGATGTGGTGAGGCACCAAAATTGTTATACTATAATAATATACTTAACTCTCTGTATATTTAAAATATTTATATTGTACATAGAATGTAAACTTTTATCTTAAATGTAGTTACTCTGTGTCAAAGAAGAATTTTAGTATATAATTATTAATTTAGCCTTTTTACTGACTTAATAGTACAAGATTTGGCTAAAGCCAAATGCTGAACAGCAGTTTCTGTATGGAAATCATGTGATGAAGTCTGGCTTGGGTAGGATAACGGAAAGTACCCCTCAATATCAGGGGGTTGTAGTCTATTCCATGAATGACCTTCCCCTGGTAAGTAAGATATATACATATTTTTTTAACATCTGAATTACTAGAATTAGCCTTAATTTCTATAAAACAGATTATGTTTATATCCAACATGCAGGTATGATTTTTTAGGAACACCAGAACATTTACAAGAAAATGGTTATTAGCTTTAAAAATTTATATGTTTACTGAATGAGACACTAGTCACATCCAAAGTTAAAGCTAAAAAAGTATTGAGAACAAAATTTTATTAAATAGGTTCTGTCAGTAAGCATGTGTACATTATATTATATCATACAAAGTAGAATCGGGGTTTTACATATAATGTTTGTAACACATACAAAATAAAGAAAAACTGCTGACTGAATATTTCTTTTTTGACCAGTTAACACGTGTTTTTTCAACATTGTCTTCCCTGGTTATTGTTTGGACAGTTGGCAGAGTTTACCAACTATTAGTTAATTTAAAGGGAAATGTTTTCTTCAGCTTTAACCTGGTTACATTTTTATGTATGCTGATGACTGGCGGATGGGTTTAAAAAGTATTGGCAGATAGCAAAGAAAAGAAACAAACCAATGTGAAAAAATGGAATCCTATATATATATATTGTGATTGTAACTGTTTGCTGGAGTTAACAGTAGTCTTTCTTTGAAAGGAGACAAAATGGTAAAGTGTAGTATATCAGAACCCAATGCTAAATACATCACAAACTATTCCAAACAACATTTACAGGGGAGAAAAACACCTAACTCATATTAGTGCATACAAGTATCTTAGCCACCCCTTGAGATAGACTTTCCCTCCCATCCCCTGTGAGCCAGACAGTACAACCAGTTTATGACCTTTCAGCATTCAGTTAACCAGAAAGTCTTATCACATGCAGAACACCTGCATAAGCATTTAGAAAACTTTTCAAAGACTTATTCTAAACTGTTATGGAAGTATGAAATTCATAACTATTTCAGTTATCATTCCTATGTTATGTCAGAGGCATCCTTGCCCTGAACTTTGAAATTAAACATTACTGGCCAAATTGGAGGGTTAATTATAAGTTGCAAAATGCTGTTGTTATTTCCCACAGTTGACACATACAATGCTGTGATACATAAATGAAGACAGTAATGGGTAATACAACAAAAATTCCAACAACAGACATCATCTGGAGAAGGGTTTAGGCCCAAAATGTTGTGTCAAAGTAAAGTGTTTCTAAATTTTATTAACAATGTATCTGTGTGTTTTTTTCCCCTTTCCCTCTCTGGTCTATCAGTTCAAAATTAGGGACAGCTATGCATAGATAGCCCTTGTGTAGCTTTGTGCAAATATTCTGAAACAGAGAAGTTCTTGAATTATTTGAAACCTTACACTGCTAGTTATGTATTCTGTCTCAGATGGAGTTAAATATTTACATTTCTGGTAGTTAAAGATTACTAAAAACAAATTTTGGAGCTTTGTGAGAGATTTTTTTAAGTAATATTAGAACACAGCTTATTTTATATAGAACATTTCCATTTGGGAATTAAAGTTTTATATTTAGATAAAAATGAAATTTCATTTTATGTAAAATACGAAAGCTAAACTTGTGTTAATAAAGTTGGTCTTGTCGTTACAGGGATTTGGAGTAGCTGCTAAATCAACCCAAGACTGTAGATCTGCAGACCCTATGACAATTGTTGCTTTTCATCAGTCTGATATAGGAGAGTACATTCGTAGTGAAGATACGCTGACATGAGCTTTTTGTGTCAGCATTTAGTTGTCTTTACAGGTTCTTGATACTTTAGGTCAAGAAAATTGTAAATAAAATTTTGTCAACTTTTGCTTGTATTACATTTTATTATAAACATTTCAGTACACAATGATCATTAATTATGTGTATCAAATCTTTTGTCATCTGCACTTCTCGTGCCTGTTATTCTTTCTCATAGGGGGCGCTGCTGACTGGCTGCTTCAGAGAGAGGGGGGGTTCGCCTAACTCAGGCACAGTGTTGTCACCATACTGGTATACACATGTAAATATATTAAAAATCAGTGGTAGAGAAACTTTATTTTTAGTAATAAGTTAATAGAAATATGTAAAAAAATAGTGCTTCAGTTAATTGTTAAATTTAAATATTACCGACTCACAGTCTGTAAATTGAGCATTAAAACCTTTGCTAAATTGATGATATTGCTTAATATCCCAAGCCAGAATTAAAATACAAGTGTTATGAAAAATACAAAACCATTAACTCTGTTTATTTTCATAACTATTGTTTATTCGTTGTATAATTTAAATATTAATATTACAGTTTAAAGCAAAGAACTATCAGACTGGCATTCAAAATCATTTCAATTTTATTTTATTAATTACCTTAGCTATATGCACTAGCATAAGGAGTTAAATTTTATTTTGGGATTTAACACATACAAGCTATCATTCAATAGTTAACAGCAATTTTGATGCCTTTTCTGTATTCCTGGCCTATTAATTACCAAAATCGCTAACTTTTACTTTCATATGTTCACTTCGCCTTACTTTTAATTGAATCACATATAACAGTAAACAGTTACTGATTAGTTATGAGGGCAACAAATGTTCTATTACCCGAAATCACTAGTCAATAATTATTTTATTCTACTCCTATCATCTGTTTTCGGTTTTACTAAAATCCGACTAATTACCACTATCACATAGTATATTTAGCCTACATTCCCGGCTTGCATGTAAATCTTAAAAGTTTAATATTTCATTTAAGATTTTGATCTCATTTTAAAAATCAATAATAAGTCAATAAGATTTAACTGTGTTATTTTAATTAAACAATGTTTCAGTGTCGGTGTATGTAATTTCAATTCGTAGGCCTATTCGTCTGTACATGCCTCTACTGATAAAATGATAGGCGTTGGCCTATTTTATAAATGATTATAATATTTATGTAAAATATAATTAATTTAACAGGGAATTCGGCCATGCTAATTCAACAAATTTATCATCGAATATCGTAAAAAAAAATCAAAATAATTTTACCTTCACGTGTTAAGTATAAAGAATGCATCTGTCTAATTTCAACATAAAATTTGCGTATATAATACTGGCGTTGGCATCCACAGGCACCCTCCATGAATTACACTGTTTCTCTAATATTTTTACAGTTTCTTTTTAATACTCTCACTGCCCTTTTCTGCAAAAAGACCCTACAACTCGTAATCTGTGCGTAAATGAAATCTTATGCTACAAGGTATATGTACATTAATTTTACCAGTTTGAGCAAATTATTTGTAATTAGGCTTAAATGAATAAGTGTGTTTTCACCTCTAGTATTAATTCTTTGCTGTGATTGGCCAATAACACATCGCATGGTATTAAATATTTTGGAATGTTAAAAGTTGTGTACTTGAGAATGATCACACCAGTGATAAAAAAAAAGGTATTACGTATTTTAAAAATATTCTTCCTTACTGCGAAAGCTGTAACTTGTAATAAAATAAGTTTGGAATGTTGCCTTGAAAGCTTGGCAGCAAATCGCATCAATGTTGCATGGTTGTCAAGGGGGTTGCCGTGTAAGTGTAACTCTGCAGACGACATTTTTTTTTGCAGCAAAGTGAAAACACGTTGATCAGTTTAGGCCTGATTGAAAACAATTTGCCAAACCCATAAAATGGCGGTAAGATTTCAGTTAGAGATGAAGAGCAGCAGAACTTTGCAGACGACAATTTTTTGCTGCAGTAAAACAAAGCCAATTCATTTAGGCCTAATTTACAAACAACGTTGGAAATCTCGTCAGCGTTTTAAGCAATTTTAATGTTTAAGTTACACAGGAGCGTATTTTATACATCTATTGGTGTGATGATGGGCAGTTGTATTTTTAAAATTAAACAAGTTTTAAATAATTTAGTTATTATTGATCCTCAAAGTGAGATTATAATCTTCAATGAAATGTTAAACTTTAATATTTGCATATACAGATATAGGCTAAATATACTATGTGACAGTGCTAATTAATCACATTTTATTATAATTGAAAACAGAAGATGGGAGAATAAAATATTGACTAATAATTTGATTGCACAAATCATTTGTTGGCCTCATAATTAGTCAGTTTGATCTTATTATAACTTGCATTTTGTTTTCATACTTACCTGAATTATGGTTCAAAAGGATGAGAGAATAAAAACTGAAACTTTCAAGCCCTATTTATAAATACTTTACTGTACAGTAGTGTTTTGTTTGGTTTGTCCGAGGAGATAAGCGATGTTTCGGTACTGTCTTATACCATGTTGTGTTGGTGGGCACTGCGTACGAGACTTCCATTTCGTTATCGTATCGGTACTATTTTACTATTACTGCCTGTCATTTGAAATACAAGAAACAGTTATAAAACAAGTATAATAAAATTTTAAGTTCTTTGATAGTACAATTCAAACTGAAGGGGGAATTCAGTATGCGTACAATAACTTATAATTTACTGTACATAGAAATGAATTAGTAGAGGTAGTTTCAACGTCGGACTTTTGCTTCCCAAACTTTCCTGTGTAGTTGATTATGTGGGAATTGGTATAATATCAAACCTTACTACATCCCATTACAACAACGCCAAAAAGGACTGTTACGTCTCCGTTCGTTAGTTGATTTTCTGTAACTTCGTTCCCACGAAACTTTAGCAACACAAGTCCTTTCTTAATAAAACTGGTTTATTCTTTCTGAATATAACTTTACCGATACACTTATTTTCAACAGTCGCTCTATAACAACGAACGTTAACTTCAACAATACTCTCTGACCACCTTATATATACCAGTCCACCCC